GATGTGGCTGCAATCCCTGGGGGAGGGGGCTGGTTGGAGGTGATGATGGGGAAACTGTTGAGACATGGTGACACCTCCCTCCGAGCTGCCCCCATGCTGGGTACCCCGGCATCCTGGTGCCCTCCCCCAGCCACATCACCCTCCATCATCTCCTTGTTCCCAGCCTGGGTAATTGGTGGCCTGGTGACAGACAGGCTCATTAACAGCTTAATTTTGGCTTCCTCTCTTCCTGCCCAGCCCCCAGCCCAGGTGGGGACCAACCCAGCAGGGTGCAGGGATGGACAACCCCGAGGCCGCTGCAGCCCATTGCTGCACGCCATGGGGTCACTCCTGGAGCTGGTGGAAGAGCACACATGTGCACACACATGTGCAACATGCACCAGCCGGCAGCACTGCCCTGCGCAGCCCACATGGCTTTGGTTCCTTGACATCGGGGTGCATGGGGGGGACCCCCATCCCTGGGCATGGGGACAGTGCCACCCTGCCCCTCACCCTGCCACCTGCCATGACGCCACCGGAGTGGGTGCCCGCAGGTGCCAGTGTCTGCCCGCCCTCCCAGCCTCACCCTGCCCTTGTTTGCTCCCGTAACGGCGGCGTTTCGGCTCCTTTGTGCCGGCAGATAACAGGGGCCGCTGCTGCCTCTGAAGCACCGGCCGACAGCCTGGGCACCGCTGCCACTCTGCACCCCAAACTGGGCAGTGAGCAGGGGTACAAGCTGGGGATGTGAGCAAGGAGTGCAGGCAGGGAGGCAGGCAGAAGCATGGGCACAGGTGAGGGCTATGTGTAGGAATGCAGGTGGGGATGGGTGACAGTACAGGCAGGGTTGCAAGTAGTGGGTATGGGCACAGAGTGCAGGCAGGGGTGCAGGCAGGTTTCCCAGCCCCACTACCCCTCTGCTTTTGCTCTCAGGTCCATATTGCAGCCCAGCAGCCCGTCCCCAGCACCCCCTCACCAGAGCCGTACCTGAAACCACATCCCTGTCCCCCTCCCCAGCCAAGGCAGCCGGAGGCAGCCCACAAATGGTTGGTGTTGGGCTCCCAAAGGCCGCCCTGCCGGATGGAGGCCTGGCCACGTTTCAAAGGCGCGCTTGTGTTGTATAATTTATCAGCAGGAGATAACAGCCAAGCAGCTAACGAGGCGGGGGGTGGGGGCTGCACCCCCGCTCTGGGGAGCCTGGCACCACGGGCACCGGGATTGCCAAAATCCGCCATGCCAGGGGCACGGGCACCTCCTCAGCCATGGTGGGACTGCAGATCCCCCCAGTGGGTCCCATTTTGCGGTCCGATGTTTTGGGGGTGCCCCAAGGCAAGGGCAGAGATGGTGCCATGCTGTGCCCTGCTTTGGAGGCAATGGCCGTGTGCCCCCTCCCCAGGTATGCCTGCCCCATCCACCCTAATGCCACCCCAGGGACAATGGCATAACCAGAGCAAGGGAGGGGGGGTGTGGGGTGTCAGCTTTTGGGGGTCTCTTCACCCCAGGGACTCATGGCCTAGGTGCCCCCCACAGCCCAGCATGGAGGGAGGGAGGGAGCAGCAGGTATGGGGGGGCCCTAGGGTAGGGGCTGGTTGATCCCATGGGCACAGGGGCAGCGTCTGGCGCCGGATCTGGGGAGGGTTTGTTTAATCCCAGATAAGGAGGCGACGCCAGGCACCTGGCTGGCAAATGGGCGCTCCCCAGGCAACAGCACCGAAGGCAGTGCCGATCCCCCCAGCACCCCGGGACTGTCTGCTCATCCCCCAGCAGCACAGAGCTGGCATTAGGGTCCCTCTGGCCACCCACACTCCTGTGGCACAGCATGGCGCAGCATAGCATGGCACAGGGTCAGCGAGGCAGCGGGCATGCGGGCAGAGCCAGATGGGGATGTGGTGCAGGGAAAAGCGGGGTGCCCTGTCCTCTGCCAATCCTGGAAGGATTTACACCAGGGTGAGCCCCCACCCCAGCCAATCCTGCCCCCCGAGTGCCTGGGCACAGGGCCAAGGAGGGGGCTTGGCACTGTGGCAGGGCCACACAGCCAGCGCCCGGGGATTCGGGGTCGTGCCAGGCTCCTGCTGCCACCCTGGCCCCATGGCATCTGGGGGGCACCTGGAAACCTGCCCCTGCCTGCCTCCACCAGCTGGGCCTGCGGGTGGCTGCATGCCCGTGACCCCCGCGTGGGGCCATGCCCGCCTGCACCCTGGGTCGGGGCTCAGGTGTGCCCCGGTCCTGCAAGGGCAGGGAGACAGACGGCACTGCCGGCTGGCAGGGGCTGCGGGCAGCAGCATCACTGGGGGGGCTGCCTCGCCGGCTGGCGAGCACAGCCCTGGCTGCCTGCCGGCCTGCACTGAGTGTGCCAGGTCTCATCAGGGGCAGGCAGGGACAGCCGGGTGGGATAAGCCCTTTGTGCCACCCTGCAGTGGCCCTGAGATCATCCAAGCAGGGGGCACAGCCATGCCAGAGCCCCCCAGCCTGAATGGCACCATACCTCTGAGCATGGGGCCGGGGATGGCACATGGCCCCCTCCTCGAAGAACTGCCCTGGGCTCCACGCTGCCCGGCTCCAGTCTGGTTGGTCACATCCCTCAAGGATGGGGCACCCTGGAGATGCTGGAGAAGGCAACTGGTCAGACTGGTGAGCCTGGCTAGGGTAGGGGTCCCCGCCGCCGGCACACCCTCAGGGTGCTCTGCCATGCTTGGTGTGTTGCTGCCACCCCCTGGCAAGACACACAGCTCCAGGTGCCCCCCTCATAGCCCGCCATGCAGCAGTGCCCAAGCCCCCCGCAACCCAGCCCCACACCCCTCACAGCAGACAGGGACACCCCAGGGTGCAGGACACCAGGGAGGGCGCAGGGAGCTCGTGGGGAAGGGGTCTGTACCCCACGCCTTGCACCATGCGGAGCGCCTGGACATGGCCCCCACTCTGGCAGGGAGGTTTGTGCCCCCTTGAGACCGGGTGGGCAGAGCGGGGAGGGGGCTCAGGGCTGGTGGGAGTTGCCGGCCCAGAGGATGATTAGGAGCCGAGGTCACGTCGCAGCGCATTAAGGCTGTCCTCGCTGAGGGCCACCGCCGAGGGGTGACCCCGCCGTGAACTGCCCACGCACCCCCCTGCTGGGCCACCAGCCCCCCCCTGTCATGCCAGCATCCCCGCTGCATGTCACCACACTTCCCTGTCCCCTGCCTGTGCCGCAGGTGTGCGTGGGGGTGTGCTGCCACCGGGTCACAGCAGGGACACGCTGTGGAGAGCTCACACCTGGGGACCGCAGGCATCTTGGGACAGATTCTGGGGGCACCTCGGCTCCGGATGCCACCCTAGGCCACCTCCTGGAGGTGTCCGGCTCCCAGGGACAGCGTGGGCTATGTCCCCACACAGCCACAGGCACCAGGGCCACGCACAGGGACTCGTGTCCCATGGATGTCCCCACGCACAGCCTCGTGGTCCCCAGCGGGCTGCTGGCATGTGCTGTGCCGTAGCACCCACCTTCCCCATCCCTGTCACACCAGGACACCTGCCTCCGCCACCCATCTCCATGCCAGCACCCTCGGCGCCTCGTCCGGGCAGCACTGCCTGCCCAAAGCAGGGGCAGGGTCCCCGCTACCCCATCTCGGCCCGAGACAGGGAAAAATCGGTTAAGGGGGGTTGGCGGTGGCATTCGGGGGCCGAGGGGGGCCAGGGCTGAACTCCTGACCCCGTGCCGGCGGCTCCCAGCCAGATGCCAGACGAGCACCCCGTGGCCCTCCAACGCGTGCGCTGCCCCCAGCCCTGCCAGACCCCCCCGCTCCCCTCACGGTTCATCGGCAGGCCACGGGCTGATGGTCGTTCCCTGTCCCTCCCTCGCGTGGCTGGTGTGGGAGGGGGAAGGGGCCGCGGGAGGCTGCAGCTCCCCAGCCCCATCGCTGGCTGAGATGAGGCTAGCAGGGAGTGGGTAAACTTCCACAGGGGGGCAAAGGGGGTCCACACCACTTTCCCAAAGAACAGACAGTCCAAACCTGCCTTGGGCTCTTCTCTGCCACCCTGCCGGGCACACTGGGGCTGGGGAGAGGCAGGTGAGGGTGTAGAGGGTGAGGAGCGGTAGCTCTCGTCCCCAAGTGGGCTCTGGTACCCGACAGAGCCTGCCTGCACTGCGGAGCTGATGGCTGCCGCGGGAGGGAGCTGGGCGCAGGGGAGAGACCCGGAGCACATCCCCGAGGGGCTGCATCTTACTGTGAGGCCCCTGGGGGTGCACGGTCCCCTTGCCAGGGCCGCAGTGGTGGGGAAATGGAGGACACAAACAACCCTTTAGAAAAATAGCTCTTTAATTCTAAAGCATTCACAGTAGAGGTGCTTGCCTCGGTGGGAACAGGGCCTGTGCTCCCTGGTGCACGGGTGTTGCTGCTGTCTGCCTCCGTGGGCCGTGCGGTCACTGAAGGCTCGAACAGGAACAGGAGCGAACCCTTTCCCTGTGGGCACCTTCCTGGGCACCCAGAGCACAGCTCAGTGTCCAGCAGGATTGCCCTGACCTAGGAATGGGGGTGAACCCTGTGCGCAGCCTCACCAGACCCTACACAGGGTTTCTGCCGCCCTCCTGGCTTTGGTTGCATAAGTCCTTGGCCAGGTCATGGAAGAAGAAGCGCAGCTTGCCCTGCACCAGCTGCCGGTAGGTGAGGAAGATGCTGGTGATGTGGATCTGCTCCATGGAGCGTAGGGAGCAGCCTGGCTCCCAGGGTCCTGCCTGAGGGGCGAGAGTGGGACCAGAGGGGTGACAAATGCCATTGTGCCCAGGCCAGTGCAGCCAGCACCTGCACCAGGGTGGTGTGACTTGTGTGGGGAGGTCTCACCTCCCAGCTGAAGGTCTGCAGGAGCAGGAGGAAGGAGCTCGCATGCTGGTACACCTGGCTGAGCTGCATGGCCCCGCACTCCTGGGTCACCTGGCGCTGTGCCCCTGCCATGGCACCCACCAGCAGTGCCAGGTCG